CTACTATTTTCTTAGCTACTACAGCCCTTGTTTTAATCTCAGGTGTAAAAGAAGGGCAAAGTGGATCAGAGGCAGTCAGTGCCTTGGCTAGAAGGGACCATCCCTGCTTCTTATGCATGTGTGAGCTGGACATACCAAGAGGGAGGACCTGGAATTTGTCACCCTCCAAACCAGGCTCACAGGTGCTTCTCATGCAAGGGGTAACAACCCCTTGTGCAGGTGCTTGCAAACCTGCTAGAACCTCGCAGCAGCAGCACAGCTCTGTGTGTGGAGGTGCTGCATTGTGAAAGGTACAAGCTGGGAGCAAAAATGGTATGGGCAGCTTCCGTGAGCAGTCCAGTGATGTCCAAAATCCAGCCATGGACACATGCACACACCAGTTAATACGACAGTAATGGTGGGCAGTGCTCTTTACTAAATAGGCAAAGTCCTACTAGGTTATAGGACAAAATCAGCATCACCCTGGTCAGCAACTTGGGAAGTAATTGAAAGCAGTTTTATAGGTGCCAGATCCCACTGAGCGACAGACCAGTAAAACTATGGCTGAGTCTTCTGAAGGATGGATGTGAGGATGGAGCACACAGGCCAGACTCACACTGCAGGTGTGACAATGCCTGCCCATCCCCACCTCTTCTGACACCTGGAGAACTCAGGGCACTTTACAGGAGACCAAATTACCCTCTCACTCCCATGTTGCACATTCAGGAACGGCTTGACTTGCTTTGGAGCTGATTCACACAAGGTACTAACCAAATAAAGGGCCATGATCCCAAAAGGCTGGACCAAAATCTTTAAGCAGTTAAGCTTGGAGACTGCAGTGAAGGAGTGGTGCTTCCAGGATGGGCATGCCCTGCATCCCTCTGATCTGATCACCAAATACCTCCAGGCTGGGCAGCCAGAAATGGAGGTGGACTAGGAAGAGCTGGGTGTTTCCCCAGATCCAGGTTTTGGGTTTTAGCAGTCTCAGCAGCCTCAGCAGAATGGGCAGGAGGCTCTTTCCAAGATGCCAAAGGGAAACACAGCAGTGGGACCCACCAAGCCATTGGTCCTCACTCCCTGAATCCCACAGCCAGTACTTGGCTGACCCAGCGTCAGGGCCAACAACATTTTTATCACACCAGTTTAAACCATTAATAATTGTCTGCCCAAACCCTCCCAAGCTTCCAACATTATATAAACGGAAGTGAATTAAAATTATTTTTTTCCATCACTGTTTGAAATGTGCAATGCTTTTTCTAAACTGCCCCATGAGCAGAAGAGAGAGGGGGGTTCTGAAACAGTTCCCTGGCTTCCAGCCAGGTCCCAGCAAGTACTTTATATCTCACTTCAAGACAATCAGAGCAAGGGTTTAAGAGGCTTTGAACACAAACAGTGTTAGGTTAGTTAAATCCTGCTTTGAGCAGTGGCGAGCAATGGAGACATAAACAGATTTCATTTGAACCGGGCTTAATGTATCTGCGTTTACAGAGTCTCAGCTGATTTCCACATACATCAGAAGTGGTGTATATTTAGTGTGGCAGCATGGTCCCATGGGGAGGGCAGCCATCCATGTAGGTGCCCGGGCACCAGTGCTGACTGCTCGTGCACCTCTCAGCAATACCCACCACTGCTTTATCTGCAAAACGGAAAGAGTTTACTCACTTCACAGAGCAAACCTGGAATCAATTAATGTCTAGCCCGCATTTAGGAGAGGCAAAACACTATATAAACATTATGTATCATTTAGCTTCTGAGGAAAAGCCATTTTCTGAAAAAAGGGGCCTCTCCTTTCTATTTTATGAAGTCTGGTTCACACTGGTGTAGGCCTTCTTGACTTTTTTGGCCTGGTCCTAATTTTCACCAGCCCAGATTGCAGGAGACTTGAACTCACAAAGTACATTAATTTGCCTCATTAATAAGTGGGGGTCTCCTTGCTGAGCACCTCCAATTCTAATTTGTCTGCTCAATGAGTCTCCCCAGAACAAAGCTGAGGCCAGCATCACACTGCCTGTTCAGCACCAGGATGGCTGTGGGCTCCTCCCAAGACCAAAGACATTGTTCAGAGGGCTGCTTCTCACTGCCCTTCCTGCCTGATCAAAGGAGTTCAGCAACATCCCAATGCACCACTTCTCTGAGCAACCTGTGCCAGGGCCTTCCCATCTTCACAGAGAAGAATTTCCTTCTAATATCTGTTCTTAATCTACCCTCCTTAAGCTTAAAGCGATTCTTTCTTGTCCTGTCACTTCATGCTTGTAAGCCGTCACTCTCCATCTCTCTTGTAGCCCCTTTAAGCACTGGATGGGGCTCTCAGGTCTCCCTGGAGCCTTCTTTTCTCCAGGCTGAACAACCCCAGCTCTCAGTTTGTTGTCAGGTTAGAGGATTTTACCACTCTCTACCTTTTAGGTAGATACTTGTGATGCCTGGCCCCTCTATGTATCCAGAGTTACTCACCGGTGTCATTGTTGCGCTCTCCTGCCATTAACATTTTATTTTCAGTTAAAAAATACCTCCAAGACCCTTTATGACAGGCATCCCTTCACACTGGTTGCTGTCCTGCAGTCTCCTGCCCTTGCACACCTTTCCTTCAGCCTGTCTGAGCTCTTCCTATAAACACAGGAAGGCTCAGGACTGTTTTTCACACTACACAAAAGTTTTGTCTCACCACTAAAGGAAAACCAGGATTACCAAAAAGCCACATCTCAGGCTGGGGGTACCAAGCAGGGTGCTGCTGCTGCTGCTGCTGCTGCAGGTGCAGTGCTGCTGGTGAAAGCCAGCCCTGCATTTTTGGGCACCCAGGCATAGCAGCAGTCCAGGCTCATGGACTCATGACCTTGTCACTCACCCAAACACAAATGCTGCAGGAATTGCCCCTGTTCAGTGACAACTGTGGTGTGGCCCAAATAGAGCCAGTGATGCTGATAACTCAGTCATAGCCTTTGTAGAGGGATTTGCTAATATAAGTAAGGAAAGGACCTTTACCTTTGGCATCATTAGCTCTGAAACCTGCAATAACTATTTCTAGGGATAGTTTTTGCTCCCCCTAGCTTGGCTCTGTGCTTGAAGCTAGCACAGGACCAAACCTGCAATTCAGAGAAAATTCCAAACAGTACTTTTTGCGTCACCCACAGGCCACAGAGCTGAGCTACCCCTAGTAAAACAAAATTTTAAAAGGAGGAGAAAAATTAAAAAAAAAAAAAATTGGCAAGAAAAAGCACCAGGAGATTGTACATGTAGAGTTATGTGGGCTGTGTTTCTGGAGGAGTGAATAGAGTTGGCATGGCTGAGGGAAGATCAGGTACCCCACACCCCACTGATTTTCCATCTCACTGGACCATATGCTGTGGAGATGTCAGAGAAAAGCAGGTTCTCATCTCTCCACCAAAAGGGTCACATCAGGAATAAGAGCACCACATATGTTTCCATCATGTTGTCAAAGTTTTAGGAAGTATCCCTCATAAAACACAAAATGACTACAAATGAGAACATGAAAAACAAATTCAGCAGGAGCTTGTGTCACTTGCTTCTCCCTCACCCTTTTACGAGAAGCTCCTGTTCTCAGCTCTCAGCTGGCTTGGGGAAAGCTTTGGGGCACAAACACTACAAATGGCAATCCAGGGCTGGGATTGGAAAGGCAGATTTTGGAGAGCAATGCAGACGAGCTCTCTGGGGTTGGTGAGAGGCAGGCACAGCCTCAACAGTGGCAGGCAGACCTCTGCAAGATCGACTCACTCTGCTCTGTAGGGGTGCATCAATAATTTTTCTTAGATACTGCTCATGTTGGGGTCTCATTTACTTTATGGCTGTAAGCCATAATATACTGAAAAAGAGGATATTTTCTAGAAATTCTGCCCTGTGAGAGTCGAGTGGGCACAGATCGCCCAGAGAAGCTGTTGATGTCCCAGCTTGTAAGTGTTCAAGGGCAGGCTGGACAGGACTTGGAGCAGCCTGGTCAGGTGGAAGGTGTCCCTGACCATGGCAACAGGGCTGAAACTAGAGGTTCTTTAAGGTTCCTTCCAACACAAACCCTCTGGGATTCTGTGTTCCTCTGGCAACGCTGAACTCACACTGATTGTGCAGAATCACAAGGAATGGTCATACAAAACTACGAAAAACTCACCTAATGTTATCCCAGCAATGCCATCAAAGACACAGCTCGTGGCTGCCTGATGGCCAGGTCATCAAAGGCATGAGCACAGTAGCAGAGGAGCCCTGAGCCCCCAGCATCCCTGCTGCAAGGCACATACCCCTCTCCCCCCACAACCCAGCCAAGAGAGAGCCAAACCCCCAAACGTACATTCCTCCCAGGCACTTCTTTTGGTCACCCCCAGAGTCATTTCTTGGTCCCTGTCACAGCACAGGAACAGGAGACCGAGCTGGGGGTGAAGTGAAGCTGTGCAGCCAGTCCTTCTCTGCTAATCCCCACTGCCTGCATGATTGGAGGGGTCAGGGTGCCTCAGCCTTCATCATCTCTGGCACATCAGCCTCTGCCATCTGTCACTATGCCCAGGCCTTGGGCTGCAGCTGTGTCCTGGCACACCTCATGCTGCACACAAGAACGGCTCCTGCTCACAGGTCTCCTCTTTCCTTCTCCAGTTACCCCGAGCTGTGTGGGTGTGTTTGCACTAGAACTGCCAGATGAGGCCAAGCAGGTTGTTCCAAGGTGCTAATCAGCATCAGAGCACAGGAACAAGCTGCTTTGTTCTGAGGTATCACAGCCCATTTCCTCAGTTCGGGTTGGTTTGCGGACTTGGAGCAGATCTTTTGCTGTGCCAAGGCTGCTTGATCTTAGAAAGAGGGAGCTGGCAAGGAGAGCACTGGAGGCCTGGGCTTTAGTCCCAGCCTTGCCACAAGGTTTCCAGGAAAAGGATCTGGGCTGTGATCCATTCCCAGCCCACAGCTGCTCCAGCTCTCAATGGCAACATTCCTCCCTCCATCAGCAGCTGCCCTCAGCACAGGGCCAGAGCTGGTGGCTGCACTTCCACCCACTTAGCTCAGAGAAAAAAGAGAAAATATTTTCAGAATTATTTTCAACCAAAAAGGCTTGTTCATCAATCATTCTGGCATATTTCAATGAAGTTTTGAAGCACAGGTTGTAGGCAGAGCTCTGACAGCCACCAAGGATCACGTTCTGCCTAAAAGGAGTTTAACTTTTCTCCCTCTCATGATCTGGTGAAGATTTTACTCTCATGCCTTCCACAATCTCTCTCAGTATGCCAGTATGTTCACAATGGTGATATTTCAACCTGCAGGGAGAGAAGAACATGGTAAAAAGATCCCCAAATGCTGTGCAAAATGGAAAGGGGCCACATCTAAGGCACAAGGAGAACTGCACCCTTGGAAAGCACCCCTCCATCCACCCAGCAGAGCAAGGAGCAATGGAGACATCCCAAGTATTTTGAGTGATGAGCCTCCTGACTCTTTAGTATCTTTACTTTCTTTAATATCTTTCAAAATAATTTTCTCCCAAAAGATCAAAGGAGGCAACTCAGGAGTGGCTTCACAACATGTACCATGTGCACACAAAACATTTCTAGAAGCCCCAATCCTGATAACTGATAGGGAGGAAATAACACAGAGACTCCTGACAATAACCAGAGTCACCTGGAGTTTTGGGTAAAAGGGAATTTTTTTATATCCAGGGAATTTTTTCTGGACTCCAGGCCAGACTGTGGGTTTTTTAAACAATGGGTATCAAGCTGTGATCATAGACTTGAATCACATTAAGGTTAAGCCACGATATGTAAAACTCAGCAGTCTCCATTTGGGGGATTTGTGGGAGGCTTTTCTCATTACATGGTTTAGACTTGCTGCCTGGGGTTAGTTGTTCCTCACACAAGATCCAGAGAAGTCCATTGCTAAGGGAAAGCCTAGAACAGCCTGGACTAGTGCTGTAAGAAGTTCTCCTCACCTCCCAAACTTTAAAGCAAGCACATTCTCCAGCCCCACTGTCCCCATAAACATGGAATGAGTTCACATCTCTCTCCTAGGTGTGCTGAGGGGAGGGACATGTGAGCCAGAGCACAAGGATGAAGACTTGCTCAGGGCTCTGCACTCAGGGGAGACCCAGGACTCTGTGAATCCCAGGACACGCCAGAGTTAGGCACAATGAACAACAGTGAAAAACAGTGAGTTTTCCACCAGGAAATTGATCACATTTGGGATGAACCTTGATCCTGCACCGATACTGAATGCTGCTGGGAAATTACATTAGTCCTCCTGATGGAAAAAAACCAGTCTGTTTCCAGCATGTGCCATATGATGGTGCCTTCCTAGACTCTCAGCACTGCTCATGCTGAGAATATACACATTTTCCCTAGGGAAAACAGATTCAAAATATCTGTTCCAAGAAAATAATTCTGTACCTCTAAAGGGTACCTTGTTCTGTGACTTGGAGTCTCTCTTGTAAGAGCTGCTCCACCATTACTGTTCTGTGTGTCCTCTTGGAGGTCCAGGAAGGGCAAACACAGGTCAATAAATGGGATGGTGAAACAAAACCCATCCATAATGATGATATCAGAACAGCACTAAGTCTTTTTGATGTCATCCAGCAGCTCACTGAAATATTTAGTGATTTTGTGCTATGAGAAAGAACAAGTGTAGGAAGAAAGCACTGTCAACAAGAAGGAGGTGACACTTGGGGCTGTCACCCCATAGATTCCTCCATTTGCTTCACACCAGCTGCTGGCTGGAAATGGGGTTGTCTGTGATCCCCATCCTCAATGCACTTTTGGAGAAAGCAGAGGTGCCAGGGAGAGCAGGAGCTCCTGGGTGCTGATGACATGGGGATGCTCATCCCAAGGGACAAGACTGGGGTCTCCCCAGTGCCCACCCAGTCGGGCAGGACTTGCAGCTTTGCAGGGACCCCTGCCCTTGTGTGGGACCTAAACCACTGACCCACTCAGTCTAGTACTGAATGAGTGACTTTCTGGCCCAAAGGCAAGAACACTCTCAAACAAGTCATCCTGAACTGGTTATTTTTAAATCACATTTGCTAAAAGCAAGAATGAGCAGAAGAGTTGGGGGAAGCAGGGAGTCATGTTGCTCTAATAATATACATTTCAGTGGCAGCTTTACTGCATTTATTTCAAGTCAGATTTGCAAAAGCCCTTTATCAAGCAGGGCAGAGCTCTCCTGTAGAACGTGTTTCAAGTCCATAGCAGCATTTTGGATACGTCACATCCCTGGGCTGTGAGAGCATGAGATGGAGCATCATCTCCTGCGAGTGCTCACAGAAAATTTGTCCAAGTCATTCTGGACAGGGTTCTTGGCTTGACATGACCTAAAAGGGTCTCTTTTTAATCTTCCCTTTGAAGTTAAACAAACTCAGACAAAGCACGACAAAACTGATTAAGAGCTTCCCCCCTCTTTAATATACTTAAACGTCTGTGTGCAGTTCGAATACTTTTAGCTGCACATGTGATGAACCTACCAAGGAGGTGCATAGGATCTACAGCCTGGATAATCATAAAAGTGGGCAGGGAAAGAAAAGGAAATTTTTCCTCTACTGAAAGCAGTTCATCCACATCTTTCCCTGCTAAACAACATCTGACATTTGCAGACAGTGCTGACTGCCCACAGCCCACCTGCTCCAGTGTGACAGGGTTGGTTGCTCATGTTCTGAGCACAAACTGGCAATAGAACAATATCTCTGCTACCCTCAGTGCCTGGCTGTTCCTCCCCTGCCATGCAGGATGGGTCAGGACAAGAGACAGGAGTCTGCAATCATTTCTCGCCTCTAAACCTACTGAGTTTGGTACGAACTACTGGAGGAGCCAGCAGGGACCTTTCCTGCCTCCCTGCACACCAAGGTCTATGGCAGGCACAGCCTGGGACTAGCAGGGCAACAAAAGCCACTCAGCCCCCAAAATCAGGTGACGTTTTTACCAGGTTATGTCATGACAGTGGGCAAGTTTGGTCTAGGGCACACGATTGTAAAGAAAACCAGCCACCCAGAACTGGGGGTGACAGGAGGACTATAAAACTCTCCCAGCAACTGCAGGCAGGCCAGTGCCTCCCATGCAGGACCATCAGCTCATTTGAGGCTGCCAAGGATTCTTTGCCTGCTTCAGGACTGCTTCAGAGTTCTGTGAGCTCTTATTAAGAAGGAGCTTTGTGGTTCACAGTCTGCACAAGCAGTAAACTACATTGAAATTAATCCCAAATATATTTTTAAAAAGCAGAAAAGTTGATTTTTTAGGTTAATCCCCCCCCCTCCTTTTTTTAACAGAAAAACCTGGCCTTTTGAAAGTTTTATTTTGAAATTGAAATAAAGCTGAGTGAGGCCTACACTGAAACAGGGATCACAGCTAACAGAACGTCTCTGTATGGAATACAACAAGGAAATTATTTCCTCAAGGTGGAAATTTATTGCTCCAAGGTGGAAGGCAGAGTGGTTTAAAGAGGTTTTTAATTAATAAAGGGAAACGTGCCAAGAATGTGTTGCATGTTTGAGCTCTCTGCATTAAATACTACTAACCTGTTGAGGGCTAATTTAGGCTTCAATTAATAACAATACACACAGAGGCATAAACAGCCTCCTGCACCTTCAGCAAAATGCATTAAGATGGCTCTATCACATTTTAAACAAATTTTAGGCAAAGAGGTGCTGTTTCTTGGGGTGCCAAGTAGCTCAGGGCACTTGTCTCCTCAGGTCAGGACACAAAGCCAAGTACCAAATGCCCCTGGAGCTGGAGAACAGCAGCGTGGTAGGTCTTGGCAGGATATTTATAGCATCCCTGGAACAGGAAGGGACTGTGAGACACTAAAGAATTTTTTTGTTTGGATTTTTTTCCCGCAGTAATGCCATTCTAGGCATTCTCACCCAAAGCCAGGATGCTATTTCCCAGTGGTCCCAGTCTCTTAGGTGTTAAGTCTCACTGACTTCCATCAAAACCTAGTCCTGCATGGCCCAAATTTTTTGAAGTCATTTACACTCTAAAACTTGCAGATTTGTGCTGAGTGGGATTTTTTTCAAAGCACCTCAACATTTTAAGTGTCTCAGGGGGAAATGGTGCCAAATCTTATCCTACAGGTTTTCTTCCTCATGGTCTCCAGGTGAGGCATCTCTTGGCACTGGGTTCCACAAGTTCAAAGTGTGAGGCTCTACCAACAAACACACACCCTGATTTAAATGTCTCCCCACTTTGCCATGCATCAGTTTTCTCTCTCACAGACAGTCAGCCCAAACTGGAGCATCTAACCCCCATGTCTAAATAATTCATTATTTCATGCACTTCTGCATGTCCTCCCTTCTCCCAGTGACACAGAATAATTAACATATAAAAGTCTGGTGATAAGTGAAGTTTACGATCCAAACTAGAGGAATGAAGGCTCAGAAGTGAACATTATAAGAGCTCTGTGCCCATAAACATCCCACTTCTGGTGGGCTACCCAGCCAATTAATTACAGGCAGAAATTCTGGCTGAGCATTCATTGCCCACATAAGCTCCTTGCTGAAAAATAAACCTCCAGATTCGTCAGGAGAAAACAAAGTAGAAGATGATGTGCTGGAGAGAAAAATACACACAGACCAAGAATAGGACATGCCCTATATTTTACAAAGAGGTTTTTTTGTATCTACTCCTCTGTAGTAAAAAAAAGTTCCCTTCTTTAGGGAAAAAGAAACTGTGCAAGATTACAATGGCCAAGCCATGGGATTCTCAAAAAATCAGTAATTATTAATTTTCACCTTTTCTCATAAGCTAATACAAGCATCAGCCCCTCTTGGGCCAGGTGGTCCCTGACACTTGGGTACAGGAGAGTCTCACACAGCTCCTAGGTTTGGATCCTCGGCTCTGGTGTGGCTTAACCATTGAGCAGAGCTCCACACTCATCCCTCTGCTGTACTCGAGGAGCTCGAGCATGCAGAAGGTCTGGAAACCATTGGTTGTCCCCTCTAGGTGAGTGTGTGTGGTGCTGTCCACAGGTGAGACACACGGGGCAAAGACAGTCAGGAGCATGTTCTGAGATCATTGAACTCCAGAATGGTTTGGATTGGAAGTGACCTTAAAGGCCATCTCGTTTCACCCTCTGCCATGGGCAGAGATGCCACCAACTAGATCAGGTTGCTTAGTGTCCCATCCCACCTGGCACGGAACACTTCCAAGAATGGGGCAGCCACAAATTTTCTGGGAAAACTGTGCCAATGTCTTATCATCCCCAGAGTGAAGAATTGCCTCCTAATATCTAATCTAAACTTGCCAGTGTGAAGCCATTCCTCCTTATCCAGTCACTTCAGGCCCTTGTCCAAAGTCCCCCTCCAGCTCTTCTGTAGGCCCTTTAGGCACTGGATGTGGCTCTCAGACCTTCTCTTCTCCAGGCTAAACAGCCTCAACCCTCCCAGCCTGTCTCCAGAGCAGAGCTGCTCCACCCCTCTGAGCACCTTCTGGGCCTCCTCTGGACCTGCCCTATCAAGCCCACATCTTTCCTGTTGAGCGCCCCAGCACTGGTCACATGCTGCAAGTGAGGTGTCATGAGAGTGGAGTAGAGGGGGAGAGCCCCCTCCCTCGACCTGCTGGTGATGCTGATTTTGAAGCAGCTCAGGGTGCAGTTGGCTATAAGAAGTTGCACCCGTTCTCTCAGTAGGGGATGGGACTTGTGTACAGCTTCAGCAAAAGCTGCTTGGTGTAAACAGCAAAAAAATCTGTGACCTGGAGAGAGGGGAAAATGAGCCCAGAGAGCTGCCTGTGGCTGCCAGACCCTGTACACTGAGCCACCACTTTCACATTAAATGTCCCAAAAAACATATCTCTTCCCACAGGGACCGTTACAAGTATGAGGGAGCTCACTCCACCACAGTCAGCATCATGGGTCACTGCCCAGTGTAGGGGGGTCCTGCTCACCTGTCCACACGTCATGCACCCCACTGGCCCCCCAGAGCCTGGCATGTGCCACTCACTTCCCTGCAGGAAGCCTGGTCCTGCAGTCAGAGCTCTCAGAAACCTCTGATGCTCATGACTGGGTTTCTTGACATTAGCCAGGCCTGACTATATATTACTGGGATATGCAATTAAGGCTCAGAGGATTGCATACAGTAGCTGGCTTTTGTAAGACAAGGAAATCCAGGAGTGTGACCAAGAGGGATTTTTCAATGTGAAAATTGAGTGCTTAAGGGTGCTTAAGCCAGCTGAACCAAAACCTCAAGGGGGAAACGGCTGACTAGTAAAGGAGCAAACAATTGCATTTTAAGAATGGTAAGTATCAAACAGGTGAGGGGATCTGAAGCTGAAATGCATTTCATGCAGACTCTGGGCCAGTGCAGGCAATGGCACAGGGGAGGACGTTGAACTGGAAGCCACCCCAAGTGCCACAGGAGTCAAACTCCCACACCCTCTATCCATTCTCTCCAGACCATAGCACAGGGAACACACTTTGCAACAGCCTCAAGTAAATGCTGTAAGGATCTAGAAAGAAAATTTGAGGCAACACATTTGTCATAGGAAGAATCTGGATGCTCCATGTGCCATTTCCAAAATGTGTCCATGAAACAGCTGGGTGCTTCTTACCTTCCTCAAGTGACTCTTGGCATGGCTTGGAGGTGTAACTTGCTGTTTGATGTCACCACCTTATGAGGTCACTTCCAGAAGAAACCATAGAGGCAAATGCTGGGGCAAGTTCCTGAATAGACAAGATTCTGGTGTTAGCATGGGCTGATTATTCTTAATTTACTCGGTTTGCATTGCTGAGCAGCTTAGGCACACACCTGCTCCAGTCAGGAGGAGGAAATCAGCCATGGGGATGCTGTGTGGACATGGGTATCATCCCTCCTGGCATCCCAGGGGAACAGCCTGCCTCCATGCCAAGGTGGGAGCAGCCAGCAGTGAGATGGAGAGCATCCTCCCATCCTGTCACCTGGCTAACAGCAAAAACTGACGAGCACTCCCATGAAGGGCTGTGCCTTTGAGTTTTAGGGGATCATCCTCCCTTTTTTGTGCACCCATCACGTCTGGAAGTGGTGCAGAAGCCCAAGCACAGACCTGTGCTCTCACTGGAACCCTTCCCAAGGCTCCAGCATCCCTGCAGTCCATGTGGACCGGCTGACTCTGACCAGAGAACCTCTGGCAGCCATTCCTGGGCTCTTTCCAGAGTTCACTTGCAAATGAGTTGCCAGTTCCTCACCAAAGAATCCAGCTCTGTGACAGATCTTCAGCTTTTATGTAAACATGCCAGTGGGATAGCTCATATCCATGATTGCTCCTTGCCTTGGATCTTTAGGAGAAAGAGCATTAACAATTACCAATTTACTTCAGTTAGTCAGCAGCTCCATGCTGCGAGTCTGGACGCTTCATGAGCACTTATTCCAGGACACACACGTTTCCCGAGGTATAACTTTGAGAAAGCCAAAAATATCTGTTTCTTGGAGCAAATCGTGGTGAAAAATTGAAACTAACTCATGCAGAAGAATTCATTAACTTAATTGACAATCCTCTCATTAATCCAAGGCTGAAAGGGCCAGAGGAAATGCACACACCTAGAAGAAGCTGTGAAAAGTGCAAAGCTTTCAAAGATGTTTTTTGCAAGATTGAAAAGCCCCTCGAAGGAGGGAAAGGCAAAGCAGGGCTGAGGACCTGGCAGGCTACAAGACAGCACAAAGACAATGCTGGAGCAGGGATGGGGCAACCTGGGAATTGTGCTCATCACACAAATCCATGGACGCTGCACCCCTGATCTTGTGCTGAGCCATCTGGTGCACATAAACCAACCAAAAATTCCAATGGGATTCACCTTGTGGTTTTACTCTGCTGAATCCCAAAGGCTCCAGAGAAGGCCAATGAAGAGGCAGCAATGACCAGCACAGCAGACTGGACATGTCCCAAGGGATGCTGTGATCCCTTTGTGATGTTGGAGCCAGGGATGTGTCATGTACATTTCAAAAGTAACCACATCAATCTATCTTTCCAGACTGGAGAGCTGGCTGGGTGAGGACATGTCCTTGTCAGCTTTTTCATGTCCAAACTGTCCGAGGTGAGAGATGTTAATTAACAGAAAACCCCACCTCCTCTTCAGCCACTCCAGCATCAGTCTGGGTGGCAGAGGAGTCTGGAGGAAGAGGAAGGGCAGGAGAAATGCCACTGAATCCAGACTGAGCCATAACTCACAAACTTTTGCTTTCTAATGTGTTCCTGCAGAGCTGTGGGACCCCATTCCCAGAGTCCCATAGCACATCTGATGCTATTGCCTCTCATTTCAATATGATTTTTGCAGTTTACTGGACCTGAGATCCCACAATGGGGAAAGAAAAGGATTATTCTCTGGCCCTGTTTCAGAGCTGGTGCTGGGAAGGTCTGATCTACAGCCACACAGGAGCTGAGCAGTGATCCCAACACACAGCACACTGCAGGCATCTCTCTTACTCTGCTCTCTCAGCCTCGAGTTTCTGCTTTTTAATTTCCTGTGGCCACAGAGCACCACTGGAGGGTCTCCTAGGGACAGTGTTTCCCATACACCATGGTCAAGGTTGGTGGGGGTGACACAGTAAGTTATATCAGTCTCAGCACACAAGAGTTGGCAAGAAGGCTATTTCTGATGAATTATCCAAATATTTCAAGCCACAATCAGCCTTAAAGCAAAAAAAACCCTAACTCTCCAGGGGAATATTTAACCTGGTGGTGGCTGGTGACCTGAACCTGGAAGCAAATGGGGCAAGGTGACTGCAGGAGCAGCAACACTCTGCCTTGGGGTGCAACTTGGTGGTCTCTTGGGGAGCAAGTACCAAGCTGCCTGGGAGGAGAAGCCAGCACAGCAGAGGAAGCTGCATTTGGGCAGATGCTTGAGCCCTATCTTCACAGAGCAGCACAGCTCCAGCAATGCCACCACCTGGGAAAGGCCCAAAGCTTGTACACTGGCTACTTTTGCTCAGAGCAGAGCAAACTACGTTTTTCTCAAGAGGAGCCTTAGGCTGAGTTTCCTGACCCCAAACGAGCACCTACCACTAAATCCTTGCTGTCCAAGTTTGCTATGAAGTTCCAGTTCAGGGAGACTGTCCATCTCTTCCCCATGTCCTATTTTAATATTATTATTTCCATTTCACAGCAATGCTCACCTTGTTTACAGGTCTGTGGGATGCTTCAGAAATTATCAAGAAATTACTACATTATGGGTAAATGACTAAAATTATGGCTAAACAAGCACTGTTCATGAAACTTGAAGCATTTCAAAGCCGTCCTTCTCATTCCTGAGTATTTTCGCCTCCTTGTTGGTCAGGATTCTCAACATCCCTAGCACAGCTTTGTGCCATAGCCAGACAATGCAGCTCTCTGATCTGAATTAGCTGATGGGGATTTTTTCCCTCAGAGTATGTAAATATGTATCAATATTCTAAACCAAAGACCTCCCAGTAACTAAATATTATTTATCTTAAATTTATCTTCAAACTAAACAGCTTTGTCACATATGTACAATAATAAAGAAACAAATTACAAAGGAGGAATTTGATTTTATTGGTTTTATTCAAAGCCCACTTGTTATACATAAATTCTGAACAACAGACTTTTCACAGTTCATTAGAGATGTTATCAAAACTTTGAAGCTCATTTCACTTCCCCACCAGTAACAGGAGACATCACAGCCTGGTTGTTTGTTTTAGTTTTATTCACTCTTCACAACAGCGACCATTTTCAAACCATATCAGGGAAATCCTCCACTTCACTGAGGAAAGGCACTCGTGAGAAAAGAGCAGCTGAGCACGAAGTCTAAATTTGGGTCTTTTTAGGTATTAACTTGATATCCCAAGTAGGGTTACTGACAATAAAGCCCAAAATCTTGCTTCCTGTGTGTGACCAATTAGCACGTGACAGTGTGTTTGCTAAGGATTTACAAAAAAATATCTTTCTCATTTTATCAGCACAGTCACTTGGGTGGCAGCCCATGGCATTTTGCATCCCAAAATATCTTAGAGACCACACACCTCACATGTACCCCCGATATAGATTTTGGCAGTCGTGCATCTCACTTCTCGGTAGCTGGTGGCTGTGCCACTGGTGTCATCTGAGCAATGCACTCCGGCATTTCGGAGGTGTCAATCTCCCGGGAGCTGCTCACAGGGCATGAGAGCATGCTGGGGACACTCCGCAGGGGGACTGCAGGGGGAGGCCCTCCTGCAGGCTTTGAGCAGGATGAAATCTCCCTGCCGGCACTGGAAATCTGTCTCGGGGAGGATCATAGGATAAAAACAAAGACATTTCAAACTGCGAAAAAAATTATTTTAAATGTTGTCAGTGGGATCTGCAACCCCTGCAACAACGTTTGCAACGAGTAATTATAGCTATGAAAAAAGAGTGGGTGAGCATAGCTTCAGTCAAACCCAGCTTAGCAAGAATCCTCCTAATGCCACTTCCTTTACCACTGGCAGCCCTGGCCAGGGCTCCAGGCACTTGGCCAAGCCACTCCCCATCTGATCCAGCAGGCACTGGAGCATTATACCACCAACAGTGGCTCAATCCTGCAGGGTTCTGAGTACTGACGTGGCCGAGCACTGACCTGGCCAAGCACTTAAGCACATGCTTCATTTAATGGTGTGAGAGCTGAGAGCTCACCGGGACTTTTTTGTATTTGCAATGGCAGCACTAAAGTTTTCAATAACTCCAAGATCCAGTCCTGCACATGAGAGTGTCCTAGCCAGCCTGAATGGGGCTTGGAGCAAACTGATCTAGTGGAAGGTGATCCTCCCCACAGCAGGGGGGTGAAAAAAGATGAGCTTTAAGGCTCCTTCAACCCAAACCAGTCTGTGGTTATGTGATTCTATACTCTCAGATGGGGAAAAGCTCTCAAGCAGCAACTCTGGACACAGCTGTTCCTGCCAGTTGAGCTGCAACTCCAAGGACACATTAGCAGCAGCTTGCACTGCTCTCCCCAGTGTCCCTGCACTTGTCACCGATCACTGGCAGAGATGATGGTACCAAGCCAGAGGGGACCGACTGACTTGGCCAGGCTGCTCTTAGACTGTTTGATGTGCAGGTATGTACAAATCTATAGGAGAGAAGTGGCAAGGCATGGGGGAAGCTCATATGGCAGCTGCCACCAGTCCCGTGGGCTTGGGGAACACCAACACACATGGGTGGGCTCCTGGTTTCATTCCAGCTCAGTTTAGTTTCTAAAAAAAAATTGTTGAAAACTTATTTATTGCTGGTTTATCCACTAAATCCTCCTGCAGAGCCAGCAACGGGAAAGGACAAGCACAGGGATCTAAAAGGGTCTCAAGACTAAGGTACTGAAGGTCAGACAAGCTCAGCCACTCCTTTATAAAATATCTTCCCCCTACAGGTTTTGGAAATCAGGATTACAAGGAAAGAGGGATCCCATTTAAACACAAAATATAGGTGGACACTGTATTGAAGCTATTTACATCATGGTTAAACTGAGGCAGCAGCTTTGTCAATAAACTGAGCCAGCTTCACATCTCTCTTGGTCAGTCCACCGCAGTCATGGGAAATCAGAGTTATCTGAACCTGTCACAATGGAAAAGAAAGAGGTTACAAAGACATTTTGATCTCTGACACGTAAGCTGAATAGCAGTTCACTGGGAACACTGTGTGTCTCCATAGTGAGTTGGTTCTACTTGGTGCTCTTGGTAAGCACAAAGCAGGACCCTCCCTGCTCATGTAAACCAGAAAAC